TGTTATCATAAACCTTTTGTTGTGCAATTTCTAAATCATTGCCTATTGGAGTAGATAATTTAGTACCTAAAGTAGATGTGGAATATGAATATGGATTTATAACTACTTGTATAAACTTTGATAAAAGAGTGTACACACTCACCACCATACATATCCTGTAATTCACTCATTTACAATCATCTCATCATTATCAACTTTTACTGTTGATATATTGATTTATGAAAACGCTTAAAGAAGAGAGCTAAGAGAAAAAAAAGTTTGCTGCTGTACAGAAAAGGGTTATAGACCTCGTAAATATATTACTTCTGTCCAGCAGATACCAGTACCTGGTACCGCCAGCTAGCAGCCGGCATAAAAACAAGCGCACGTGGACCAGGACTTTGGTATATAAAGGACAACGGAGGATATAGCATCACTCATTCATTGAGAAGCAACAGTCATGAACACTAAGGTAGGTAGACATATCTGTTTTGTGTAAAACTGATGTTGAGGAATGATGTTATGGAAGCAACAGCGATATCGCCTTGGCTGTAAATGTTCATATATCCTACTCGCTGTAGGTCTTCATCCTGCTTGGTCTGGCAGCAGTCGTTGCTGCAGACAGCCGTGAGATTTTCGCCTATGGACCTCCTCAAGTTAGTGTGTTCTGATTTTTGTAATAAATTTCGATAGAAATACTGACAGAAATAATTCAAAGTGGACAGGGCAGAGAATTGAAGATATGTATATTTTCATAAAAGAGAATATTATACAAACAAAAACATGATACAATTCTACACGAATAATGTTACTCTTTTAAGGATTCTTCCGAAGAGTCATTCGAGTCGTACGAGTCAGGAGAAGCCAAGTACGACTTCAATTATGCCGTTCAGCACGAAGACTCCGGCAACGACTTCGGACACCAGGAAGCCCGTGACGGCGAACACACTCAGGGATCCTACTACGTGAGGCTTCCCGACACCCGTCTGCAGAACGTCAAGTACTTCGTGGACGGCGACGACGGCTACGTGGCCGAGGTCAACTACGAGGGCGAGGCTCGTTTCCCCGACTCGTATGAGTCTGCCTCCTTCGATCTGCTTCCTTCGAGTCCCGGGAGTACAAGCCACCAAGTCCCGTATATACCTATGACTCCAACGAGTCCAAGTAAATTTGTAATTTGTTGTCAGTTGAAACAAGATAGCAGACCCAAGATTTTCATGTAGGATAATTATTGTATATTTATTACAAAATATAATGGAAGCATGTGTAAATACCCATTTTCTTTACAAAACCTAGGAGTCCTAGGTTTACGTGTATACAAAGCCTAGTTTAGTGTCAAAAAGAAATGCAAAGTCCTTTGTTTACGTGTTTATAGTTTTTACACGATCATACTCCTAATAAGAAACGCAAAGTGCACAACCCTTCTTCCCAATCTCTTTTTCATGATTACTTTAAACAAAAAGTTACATCACTAAGACTGAATGAGGAAATCAAATGGCGACGTTGACAGTCGTTACGACAGTGATGTAAACGTCTACTGAGTCAAACGTTCAAGATATTCATTATTGCTCTATGTATAATTCCTTCCTTTAGAGATAACTATAATCTAGAGTGGTCTATATGTCATTTCATTAAGAAACGTCACAGGGGCAATGACGTTAACTGAGAAATTTGTAATGTAATCAGATTGATGTTACGAGGTTACCTCGATAGACCAAGCCTTCCGCCTTAAATGTGCAAGTGCGCAATCTCTTTAAAAAGTGAAATTTAAAAAAGCCTTTTTTATGTTCTTGGGATTTCATCTTCTTAATCATTTTTTTCCATGGTTCACAGACACATGCTTGTGATAACTTCACAGAAATTGAAGCACACCTATAGCAATACACTTCCTTGCAACGTTGCATGCTGAGTAGGGTACTTATTACTCTGAAATATTTACAATTTTCAGACGATTGTCCGTGTAAGCAAGGTGATTTAGTAAGTCTTTGGATAGAAATTGAATGGAATAAGATAATAGAGATGTTCCACAAAGCTGTACCCTAAGTTTACTATATATGAACAGGCATATTTTGCCCAAAGCGCATAATCTATGATTTATAGAATTCCTCTCTCCCTCTCCCTTTCTGTCTCTACTTTTCTTTCTTCCTTTCCTCTCTTCTTTCTCTCTCTTTCTCACATGTTTTTTTTCCCTTCTCTCTCTTTAACTTTTCACAAAATCTAAACTGCCTGCTAAGTATACAAATGTCTAGTAAAATATATCACCCAGACTGCATAATTTAGGATCTGCAGACAAATTTGATTTTAGTTATAAGAAAATGTCTCAATTGCGAATTCTGTTGTAGATAGATTCACTAAAACTAGCGAACAACATGGGAGTGCGAGTGAGGCAAGTATATTACCCTCTTCCTGTTTCTTTTTCTAGTTAGATCTTTAGATAGAAATGGAAGGCTATAAGGTAACAGAGGAAATCTTCAGCCTTTTTACAAAGCTAAACTGTGCGATTACTATATATATATCACAACAAGTATGTCTCATTCAAACCGCATAATCTATGATTTATGGACAATCTTCTCTCTCTCTCTCTTTTTTTTTTTTTTTTTTTATTATAGCTTTTCACAAAATCTAAACTGTCTAGTAATATTACATATTTCTAAAAGGATGTGCCGCCCAGATTGTACAATTTAGGATCTGTTGACATATGTGATAACAGCTTTAAGAATATTTCTACATAGACCAACTTCTGTTGATTTTAAACTTACTACCTGTTGCTTACGTTTTAAACTCGAATGTAGTTAATTTAAATGTCAAATGATTTTTTAACCCCATACTATACCTAGGGGCGACATTTGAGGGGGTAGGCATCGGGAGTGCTTGAGTCCACTGACGTCTGTATGGAGTAGGTAAAAAAAGAAAGAGGAAGAGAGAGAGAGAGAGAGAGAGAGAGAGAGAGAGAGAGAGAGAGAGAGAGAGAGGAGAGAGAGAGAGAGAGAGAGAGAGAGAGAGAGAGAGAGAAAGAAAGAGAAAATACGGGCTTATGATTATAAAATAAAGGTGTTTAAAAATTTTATACGAATGAAGTAAGCCTTTAAGTATAGTAGCATAGTAGGGGCACAATTGGAAGATTATGTGTTGAAGTACTGTGTTCGCGTAGATTGGCTACAAACTGTTGCATCCTTTTTGTCATACTACAGGTGATTACGACCTAATATCCATTCCATGTAGCTTTAGAAAGAATTTGAAATAAATTAGACTCTCAATTAGAATCTGGTACCTCAATAATATATTTGCCCCTCGCATATGAAATTTAAAGTAGCGCCATTGAGTAACCACTGTTGAACTTCCCTTTATAATTGCAGAGAAAGTATGTAAAGCATATTTTCTTTGTGTTTATATAGCATACCATAAACGCATATTTACTTACTTATTAGGAATATAGACCTTGTATACATGCATATAATCATTCATAAACTGTAAGCTAAGTGCCTGTATTTCTACTCGTACGTAATGTTGTATATAAACATTTAACACCAGATACGTAATTATATGCATGGACATACATATTAATGTAATCATTTACAAAGTTGTTTAGTCTGAAAAGAAGTTCAAGATGCATGGAAACATTAAAATGCTACTTTTGTTCAGCAGATTTCACTACCTGCCACCACAGTACGCATAAAAACTAGTGTAGGCGCTTCAGGACTTTGGTATATAAAGGACATTAGCAGGTGAAGTATTACTCACTCCTTGAGAAGCTTAAGTCATGAACACTAGGGTAAGTACACGTATATGTTGAAGAAGTGATTTTCATGAATGTGAAGCAGCAGTACACATATTGAAGAAGTGATACTCACCATCGTGTGAAGCAAAAGCACGAGCATTACCGATACAAATACAATAACTCCTTTTTTCTCTATTCATCCTCCTTGGTCTGGCAGCCGTCGTTGCTGCAGACAGCCGTGAGATTTTCGCTTATGGACCTCCTCAGGTAAGAGTGTTACATTCATTAAAATCAATGTGAAGGCAAATCATAAAAAAAACTGGAAAAACGAGGTGACAGAACACGAGGATATGTAATGTATCTTCATGTGACTTTATACAAAAATATATCGGCATGAGCCACATAAATAACATTTTTCATTACAGGGTTCCTCCGAAGAGTCATTCGAGTCGTATGAGTCAGGAGAAGCCAAGTACGACTTCAATTATGCCGTTCAGCACGAAGACTCCGGCAACGACTTCGGAGAGGAAGCCCGTGACGGCGAACCACACTCAGGGATCCTACTACGTGAGGCTTCCCGACAGCCGTCTGCAGAACGTCAAGTACTTCGTGGACGGCGACGACGGCTACGTGGCCGAGGTCAACTACGAGGGCGAGGCTCGTTTCCCTGATTCCTACGAGTCTGCTTCCTTCGAATCTGCTTTTTCGTCCCGGAGTACAAGCCACCAAGTCCCGTATACACTTATGACTCCAACGAGTAAATTCTCGGAACTCGACCGCAAGTTATGAAGAAAGATATGGAATGGCAGTGTATCTTTAGTATTTAATACTTATTTATTAATTGAAAGTATAATAACAGAGAGAAAAAATGATATTTTTATTAATAAGTAATCCTCATTACCTTTGCCTAAATTATGTTTATGTACGAATAATGATGTAATGGTGTTGCATCCATACAGAAGAGCTTTCACCTTAAGCATTTAAATTTCGCCAGAATGAAAAAAAAGACATTGTAAAAGAAAGGAATATTAAATGTGATTACGTCCTTTATGTTAGTAATCGCAATACGAAATCCCATATAACGGACGAATAATCATACCCATAACTTGACTCATTCTCCTCTCTCTTTAAGACTTTCAAGACGCACTATAAACTATATTGTAATTCTCCACTTTAATCATGTTTTAAAAATCAAGATGTGGGAAAGCGTTTCGTAAATAAAGCTATTATCCAAAAACGTACGTAGTAAATTACTTGTTATTTATCTTTAATCTCTACCATAATTAATTATATCCCCTTCGCT